CTGAGCTGTCACTTGCATATTATTCATCATGCCTAATCGCTATTATTCAGGCCAATTCCATTTTATTTATCCATTGATTTCCTTATGTGGTTGCTCAAGCAGCATATACAAGTTTCTTGTTGAATACATATGGCAACCTTCACAGACTTCAGTAAACTGAAATTGTACTCCAAGACAAGTAGGCTTAGATGAGGTGAGTGAATGATGATGGTTCAATGTGTCATTTGTGCAGTAGGTGTCTCAGTACCTCTGAATGACCACAAGGGAGCAGCTCATGATGGGAGTTCAGCACAATGAATTTATTTCTTAAATAGACAAGATGCTTTCTTTCAACAAAATAAGACAATGACCTCAACAGTGTTAATTAGCTGCACACTAATCATGATTTATAATTGAACCAGAAAGAGAATCCAGGCAAGTTTGAATGAAAGCACATTTTCCTGATGAATGGACATGGGCTATAATCTCACCCATCTGTGCAATAGTAGTTAAAATAAACAAAACAAACTATTGGCATTGGAGGAAAGAGCATCCATCATTTTGGTTAAAATTCATGGTTTTGAAAAGAGCCATTTAATATGAGGAGAGTCACTTGAACTGTTTTAAGTAGCTTAAAACAGAAGTTAAGCGCGGTGGCTTTGTCATTATCAGAATAACAAAGAAACAAGATGTTTCCTGATTCCGCAGTTACCATGTTGCATAGTTGTTATGTAAATGAATGCCATAAAAACCCAGATCCCAAATGAGACACAAAGATTGATCTACAAAGTGTGTAGGTGTTATTTAGTTTAGTATAGAACATGTTGCATCATCCTACCTGTGTTTTGATCCAGTCACCCAAGATGTCATGTACAGTGGGTACAGAAAGTATTCAGACCCCCTTAAATTTTTCACTCTTTGTTATATTGCAGCCATATGCTAAAATCATTTAAGTTCATTTTTTCCTCATTAATGTACACACAGCACCCCATATTGACAGAAAAACACCTAGAATTTTTGACATTTTTGCAGATTTACTAAAAAAGAAAAACTGAAATATCACATGGTCATAAGTATTCATAAGAGTGAAAAATTTAAGGGCGTCTGAATACTTTCCGTACCCACTGTAAGTGACCCTTTGTAGAAAGTAGGCGTGTGCTTTTATCAGATGGGTTAAAACAAATGCAGTCGGTGGCCCCTTGAAATGCCCTATCAACAGTTGCTGGATTATGCTCTGTACGGCGTTATTCATGTTGTTATTGCCTTTTTGTGTCTGCACTTGTTACTTCTATTTTATGTGTTCTGGGACATTGTATTCCACTGCTAATTAATAGTATTCAACCAATGACTTTACACTACCAGGCAAAAGATTGGACACATTTTCCCATTGAATTGAATGGAAAAGTGCGTCTCAACTATAGATATATATAATGGCATGTCCGAATGTTTTCAGTGTAAACCTTGCAGACTGTCCACAGCTACAGTACATATGTTTGTTTGTGTGTGTGTCCAGATACTGCAGCGCGTGGTGGTAGTGGCTGCAGAGTGTCTCAAGCTCCTGGAACATCAGCTGATGGACAGCAGCCAGATCCATGATATCAGGGTTGGTTTGAAAAAACACTTGAAAGTTGCCATGCATACTCCAATTATGGTGTACTATTTCAGCACTGTGATGCACTCATCTGTGTTTGTGTAGGTGATCATGCGCCCCCCTCTGGATGCCTATGATGTGTTGATTCACCTGAACCCAAAGCAGGTTCCCCTGCTCAGCCAGGCAGTAGATCCTCCCACTGTAACCTTCAGCAGGGGCGTCATGACCGGAGGTGTGGGCAAGTCTGGAGGGGCCCTGCCTGTCATTGACTACAACCCTGTGTCTCTTTACCTGGAGGAGCTCAGGGTGAGTCTAATCTATGAGAAGTACACTTCATATTGAAAGGAAGGTGTGGCGTTAATAGTGCCTTGTTGGCACGAAAAATGGCATGGGAAAGTTGTGTAGCAGGAATTACGCATTCAAGTTGCAGCTGGGCTGTTCAGGCCAAAATAATAATGTACTTGACGTCCAGCAGCTTCCTGACAATAAAAAAAAGGAATTATAGGGAGTCAAAATATCCTATGAAACATGGCTGTTCTTGCATTGTTCACAAAGCAACAACATCCAGGTCTGCTCTTTATTGTAGCTTTCCTAGAAACAATGTAGACTTTCCTCAAAACTTTTTTACTTAAGCAGTTAATTTTGTATTGTCTACATTGCTCACTTTGTGTATGCTTTCTTGTGCACATGACTCGGGTTTAAGGATGTCTCTAAGCCAGTGTCTTGGCTTGACATTAATAAACCTTGGCAATAGTATAGGACCTCTGACTTTCTGCTCTTTCTTTCTGCTTCTCTTGTCCAATTCATTCTTTTCATTTCCAATTAATGCAAAAAAGGACATGCACTACATGATGCAGCCAATTCATTATGTGAACTGTATGATCAAGTGTACACATAGTAAAGATGGGTGAATTTTTCAGGAGGCGTTTGGAGACCTGGCCCTCTTCTTCTGTGATCCCTATGGTGGAACAGTGATTGCAGTTTTATGGAAACCAAAAGCCTTCATCCCAGTGCCTTTTAAGGTAAAATCCACAGTGCTCTATCAAAAACCATTAATATGATGGAATAGCCTTTTGCAATGCTAACAGGTACTTTGTGATAAGCTTGGTATCATATGTCACCTCATTTTCACATCAACATCCATCACTGTGACCTGATATTTGACTTTGTCCCTTTGTCTCACATCACAGACATCACAGGCGTCTGCTCGGAGCATAGAGGTGACTGGAGAGGAAGTAAATACTGTTCCCAATGTCAAAGCAATACTGGAAGACTTTCAGATCATGGGAGAGGGTTTGGTCAAATCAGTGGAAGCGAGGACTGAAAAATGGTCATTTTAGACAACACTGATGTGCACACCACATTCACCAGATACATTCAATTTAGTATTGATATGTTCACCAGAGAAGGTAGACTTTTTTTGTTTTTATTTTCTGACTTGGCAAAACCGACCAATTGCAATGTGAATGAATTATGGACGTCTTGTTTAACATTATTATGTGTTAATGGTGTTGCTGTTAAAGACTAACCACATTTGTTTTGGTGAAGCTGTATCATGTCTATTAAATATGTTTCTGCCTTCTGATTTATATTTCATTCTTTTGTCTTTCTGTCTGTCAGTGGTGTACATTTACAGATCAGTGACAGAAAAGCGTATGTGTGTCAGACCTTCCATGTAGCATGTTTTCCAATGCACAACAGCACTTTCAGTTAGACCGAAAGGGCAGGGAGGTGGTGTTCAAGCAGAGACATGTCCGTTAACTGGTTTTGTCTGGCTCAGATTTGTTGACTGCTTCTAACAAAATTCCTAGAATAGGATTGTCTCACTGTTCATTTCCTAAAAAAACTGTATGGCGTTTACACCCACAACCCATTAGTCACTGATACGATAAGAAAGATAATATTTAATGCTAGACAGAGGATTATAACTTACTCTTGAAGCTCCCTGGAATGAATGCAAAAAGATAAAGCTAGAAAGACAGTAAAATATACAATTGTGTCCTATAAGCACTGAGGTAGAGCATTTCAAATACATTCCATAATAATAATTCCAAATACTGTACCTTCACTCAAGCAATACTGTACCTGTACCTGAAAACTGGTACAGAAAGAAGTGATCATAACATACTGTCTGTACTTAACTGCCGTGTGTGAATTCTTTGGCTGTAATGGAAGTATGGAAGGCTTGTGATCCAGTTAATGGTAGTTCTGTGCACCCTTATTCAGATGGCTTGTTGCGTGACAGGCTCTCTCAATCTTTGTATGCTTTGTCTAGGATTTCAGTTGAATAGGCTCTGCAGGTTACTTAAAGGGCAATCACACCCTGAGATGCAGGTGAGTGTTGTGATTTTTGCAGGTTTATTTGATGACACATTACTTGTCATTGCAACTTTAGTTGTCATTGCAACTTTATGCGCTGAACACACAACTTGCTGTATTCTAGTAACAGAAAAATGTGTGTAAAATTACCAAAATACAAGATGGCAATGTTGTTTTTCTATGTTTAATGCTTAATTTGTTTAAATACACATTTCATTTGGTTTTGAAATGTTTGAACAGAGAGTTCATTACTGAAAATAAAAAGGCAGTTTATTACAAATTATGAGCATGAGGCATTGAATTATTAAATGTATAAATAAAAAAAGGTATATCCATTATTTAGACAATCCATGGTTTAAGTACAGCATAGGACTGCAGTATGTTTGTCACATAATCACTGTTTGTCACGCACAAAATAATGACGTGATGAACTGTCACAACAGGGAACATTACAGCATACAATGATTCTTAATTGCTAAGCTGGCACAGTGAGTTGTCATGGAATGTGGACAAACTACACACTTTCAGCCATTATTAACAAAGCTCTAAAAAAAAAAAGAAAACCCTTACAACAAGACTATGTTGAAGATTGACCACAAAGCTGTCTTATAAGATCAAAAAATGGGATCTGAAATGATGATCTGGAATTTTTTTTTTTTTTTTTTGCTCTACTTTTAGTACGCTTGACCTCAAGTGCAGCGTATTACACTTTTTCTGAATTGCTAAAACACATTTCTTGAAACCACCACTCATTTTCTCAAAACCTTAAACACAAATCCAAATACTCAAACTAAATTCACAAAACCTCTGACTCGTCTGGCAAAATCAAGCAATTGCTTCAAAACCATGTCACCAGCACTCAAAATCAAACAATGCTTTCAGATCATACACAAATGGGTCAGTCATATACACACTGCAGCTCAGTCATTAGACACTACATCAAAAAAGGAGAACACAGGACATGTAGTTACAAACAAAAAAAGTTTATTGTATAGTGAATTTACCAAAAACCATGTTACGATCAAAAAAGAAGAAGAAAAACACATCAGAAAGATTATTCTGCCTCAGGATCATGTCTTTGAGCTGGGCCTGGCCAGAGGGCTTCATCTACGTCGCAGGCAATGTTGTCCCTTGCCAGGCAACGGGCAAAAAACCCTCTGGTGTGGCGGATCCAGCCTTGACAAGACTGCACGTCTATCTCACCACAGGCTAGTTCCATTGTCTGTAAGCCATCTGTGCACTTTGAACTGGCTTATGATTTGTACCTTCTCATCACATAATTAGAAACAAGTGTGAATAATTTTGAATCATTATGTGTAAACGATGACAACTGTGCTTTAGTTGTGTTTAAGTTCTGCTGTCCTCTGTTTAGTGTTTTGCAACACAGGTTCATCACAGTGCGAATTGTGTTTTAGTGAGTGAGAATGTGTTTAGAGTTTAGCAAAAAGAGTGCATGAGATTTGCTAACAGAGTCTAAGTGCCCGAACTTGTTTAAGGTTTTGCAGAAAGAGTGATTTATTTCACAAATTGGTTTAGGCTACTGTGAATTTGGTACAGAGAATGGGGTTTATTGTTTTAGCAATTGTGAAAAACTGTATTCTTTTAGAAGCTAAAGCTAAGATGATCTAACTGAAGGAAGGTGTGCTCAACTGCATGAGACACATACATTCATAAACAACCAGCAGGCTATGTATTAATCCGTAAATGTTTATGTCTAGTTGTTGCTAACATTCTTACTGTATGGCCTGAGGGAGTGTAACGAGTGCCAACTTGTGCTGTCTTTAAGATAACAGTCTTTCTCCACCTGTCTGCACCTGTCCTGTCTTCCAGCACCTGATGGAAAACAACTGACACACTGGCACTCCTACTGGAGACAAACAGCTGGTAGACACATGGTGCATAGCAGTCAATCACACGTTAAAAACAGGATGCATGTCATTCCCCATGGTTTGGGGGAAAAAAACTGTAAACAGACATACAAACTGTATCAAACAGCAAATCTTAATTGTTCACATTTGTTGCTGCAGAATGTAGACAGAAACTCTTTTTAGATTTATAGCTTTCCCCAGTATTTTCTGGTACCACCATTCCTTTGTCTTTACCTCTACCTGGAGCAAAACTATTCCAGGAAAAGTTGTTTAAAACCATATGGCCCAAAAATGCAGCTCCTCGAGCATGCTAGATGGGATTGCTTCTGGAAGCCTAAAGTGGTAAACCTGAAACAGGAATACAAAAACAAAGTAGAAATATGTGCACAAACACAGCCAGAAGATGGCTGGTTAGGATAAAATGTTCAGCTAGTACAAATCTGTGAAATACGGATTTGAAAGTAATAAAGAGAAAACGATCCAGTGGAGCTATGCAAAAATAATGTTTTTATGAAGCTCTGAACAAATCCAGCAGATATTATATATCTGTCTATTATTGTGGGCACCAAGACGTAGCAGGCATTGGCTAGAAAACATAAAGACAACATGGAAAGAGGGAAATACCCTGCACTCAAAGTAACTACGAGAAATTAAGTTCAAATCAAGGCAATTGGGATGTGGAAGAAACCTCAGGGAGGGCAGGAGATCCCACTTGCCACAATGAGTCAATATTATCCATTAAACTGAAAGTACCTGGCATATAGCGTCATCCAATTCTTCTCTAAAAGGTTTCATATTTACCTTACCTGGGTTGTTTTCACCCAATTTCCAATTAACATTCTTGGGGACAGCACTCCCTTTCATCTTGTCCTGGCCCTTCCTTCTTCATGGTGTTTGCATTGAAACAGTTCACTGTAAACAGTTGTACAGCGTTTATGAGGCGGATGCTCTCTGTGCTCCACACCGACACTGTAACTGACTCAGATTACCTCAGGGGCTTTTGGTGATAAAACATGTTGCCTAATAAGCTGAACCACTGCTTTGCCCATGCTTCACAGGGTACAATCCACATGCCAAGGAAGTGATTCACCTGTTTGGTTTTCTACGAAAGAGTGACATTAAGCAGCATAAAACAAAACATTTATATAGCTGCCAGTGTTAGTTTATTTATTTGGCTTCTAATGTTTTTCTCAATTTTAAAGTCAGATTGTATAATTGGATTTAAATGAAATATCACTATGAAAGACCTGGACAGTTTTCTGCAGCTCTCTTTATCAGCTAACTCCTGAATCTTTCTGTCTCCATCCTCTCTATCTCCACATTCTTTACTCTCTGTTTCTCCATTTCTGTCTCCTCCCTTCGTTCACTCCCTGGAAAGAAGTAACAAAGGCAACAGTTAAACAAGCAAATGTAAAATAAGTTTGGCCAGTTTGAGGCTCATAACTAACTACTTACAGGTGGTTTTTCATTAGGCAGGTCACTATTTTCAATTAAAGCTCTAGCTCCTGCTGCAGTTCCAGTCTCTGTGTGCTTGTTTTAGTCCCACGTAGCAGGAGTGGGGAGTGGGGGGTGGGTGGATTGAGAGTCTCGTGTTAACAAGATACAGTGGTGCTTAAGCGGCGATGTAATGTTCCAGTGGTGCACAAAACAAGCTAGCCTCCAATTTGCAGAAGAAACGGGGAGAGGGAGTCTCTCTTTAGTGAATTAACAGGCAGACATGCAAACACAGTAATATGCGGTGATGAGGTTTCACACAGGGGGGACAAAGAGCAGGTCTGGGAAAACGAGGTGAGAACAAGAAAGGTAATATGGGGTGGGAATGAACCAGTAGGGGCTGCATAAGGTATGTATCACAGTTATACATGTGAGTTTCATTTCTACTATTATGATGACCAAAATGTTGAACATCTAAATAGGGGACATATTTTAAAAATCAATATATGGGTTTGCATAATAAGAAAGATGCTGGCTGCAAAAGAAAGAGTAATGAAGGATTTAGTTGATTTTAGTTACAGTTTCTAATGATAAATGCTGAGAGTGGCAAACAGTTAAACCTCCATTTTCCACTAGTAAAACTACTATAAGCCTTTTCAATTCAAACTTCTACATGTACATGCAGTAAAATCAGAAGGAACTAAACAAACAGGAGAACTGGATTGTATTCAGGTAAGCTGGAACTAGGCATTTAACAATATAAAGATGTGGGTGTGTAAGAGAGAGAGAGAGAGAGAGGACCAGTGAGTGTGTAGGAATGCCACCATGACAATTAGGGAGGTGGGGCCGAGCTCAGGCTGGTCCAAGCCCATCTTAGCTCTATAAGAGGAGTCCAGTCCTTCGAGCTTCACAGTCACTCAGGAAAACCTATCTACCTACTGTGTGTGTCTTCTCACTGTCCCATCAGCCTCTAGCAAGATAACATGGGCAAGCAGAAGATGATATTGGACAAATTAGCCAGGACCGTCCAAGTCCGCAACCTGCTGCTACGGCAGGCCCTGGCTGAGTGTCTTGGCACCCTCATCCTTGTGGTAAGTGTGGAGTTGCATGGAACTTAGACTGTAACTTATCTCATGATGAACTGTGGAAAAAAGCTGCAAAGTTGCATGTTGATAATGATTCAGCTATGTATATCCCCTCTCAGACATACCCTCCTTCAGTTTTTCTATGTGAATTTGATGTTGCAATATGATCAGTTATTCTCTTAATGTACATTTCTATCATTTTGGTTTTGCCATGTTTGAAGAATGATGAATAACTGAAAAAGACACCATACAATTTCTAAGCCATACATAAACCTCAAAAGGAATAAAGTGACACATTTTATATTACACCACCAATTGCTCTACAAGTGTGTAAATATAGGGTTTTTACATTGGCAAACTGAACCCATTCGCACTCCCAAGCACTCACGCATTCACACACTGGTGACATCACCGGGAGCAACTGGGGGTTCAGTGTCTTGCTCAAGGACACCTCGACATGTTGACTGGACAAGCCGGGAATCGAACCACTAATCCTCCGGTTAGAAAACTACCCGCTCTACCTCCTGAGCCACAGCCGCCCCCCATTAAGCTCCATATTGCACTTTTAAACATCAGTAACTATGTATGTTATCTATCTTTAGCACAGGCCAATGCATTCCAAGAAACAAAGAGGAAATTTGACTGAATAGTAGTTTTTCATCCTGCACAAACAGACATTTTCTTTTGTTCACTGACTAAAATGAATCCAGATTCTAGACAACAAGACAAGCAAACTAAATAAAACAGTTATAAGAGGCTACTGTTTTATAAGAAATGTTTTTCTTATCCACCTTTTTGGCACTTCAAGTAAAATGAGTTTTACAGATAATACTTTAAATACAAGTACAACAGCCAGCTTAGTGGGAAACCCAAAGGCACAATGGTTTAAGATTCACTGAGGCGAGTTTAGTGACTCATTGAAAAGTCAACACTTGTTTTTGAAGGTGCAGAAGCATGCAACATTTAACTGAAGATTGTTTTCTAAACCAATCTGGGTCAGTGTAAAGAAAATTAAGATTATTCATATTTTCTTCCTATGGAGCAATTTGAATTTAGTCTGAAGCTTACATAAAATAATAAACAATTAAATTATATACAAAAAATGCAGTGGAAAACAATTTGTACAAACAAGCCATGGACTGAGATTATTGTTAGTTATACACTTGAGCATTTGAATGACTACTGAAGGGATCCAAAGGTGTGGTGCAGTGAACGAGTGGCATGTCTGTGCGAGCAGTGGGAGGGTCAGTGGCAGAACAATAGCTGTCACACCATGTACATGCATGACATAACCTTACTTCCCTTATCTAAAAGTAGAGAAGTTTTTCTCTGGCCCTGCCATTATCTTTATCTTTCCAGGCATAGGCCTGTCAATATTTATATACTGGATATATATGGACAAATTAAACAAGGCAAACTTATTAGTAATGACTTACTACTCTAGAAGCACTTGGACAGATAAGTCACGACCCTGTATGGGTGTGTGTGTGTGTGTGTGTCCCTGTGTTTATTTCAGCATTCTTGGCACAGTGGCACTAATTCCAGGCAATTTCTTAAGTTCATTGCCACAGACAGGATATTTGTGTTTTCAATTCATGCTGAGGACGTCATGCGTTAATTAACTTTTGAGTTTGGAGGTCACAGCACTCTGTCTGTTGTTCAGAGTCACACAGTAGAATCTATAGTATCAGATCAGTCACAGAGTATAAAGAGGTTTTGGAAAGTGTCCTAGAGCTTCACCTAGAGACGGATAACACCCTGCTCTAAGAGTTTTGTTAACCCCTCATTGCACTCCCAGATGTGCATTGTATTTTCCTCTTCAAACCACGATTCTCTGCTTAGATTTGGAGACAGACCCTTCATTCTTTGAAGATTGCAAAAGTAGTGATTTAAAGACTGGTACCAGACCAGCAGACGTGTTTGCCTTCAGCTCCTTAATAAATGCCAAATGTGTTTCTCAGTGAGCTGACTGCTTTTGTATGAGCCGCCCAGCTGTGTTAAAGCTGGGAGAAGCTGCATGACCAGCAGAGTCAGCTGCCTGGATGTTGGCTGAGAAAGTGGCGGTGTGCAACATACTATAACATGATGGCAGCTACATAGCAACTTGATAGAATTCTTCAGCAGTAGTAACACTCAGTCACTGTGTGAGCACCTCAGTGTCATATTTAAATGGAACCTTTCTGGTGGAATATGATCTAAGTAAGAACACAGGCACTTGTAAGTTTATGGCCCATCATTTGGAACCTGATGCCTCTGACATTAGGAAAAACTCTGTAAAGGGAAAAGTCTTGGATATTTATTTCTGTATCATGCGAAGCCCATCATGGCATAACGTCAGGGAGACATCCACCCGCACTCTAAAAATAAAATAGCTGACACAATTTTAACATGATTTATGTAGCATTTTCCAGTAATGGCTAGTCTCATCAGGGGTGGGAAAAGAGTTTAGATTGAGCCCAGTGATGATGAACGCCCCTCAGGCGCCAGTCCCTCCGAGTGTGGTTCCCTCGAGCTAACCTCAGCATCTGAGTCATGTGGTCAAGCTGAAAAGGTTCCTCATCAGGCGACTTAGACAGCAACAACTTAAGCACAGACCACACATACGTCTTTTGCCAAGTGCATATAAAGAGAACACAGGGGCAGACACACATATAATCAGACAGTATCCAGTACACACAATATGGCACCTGATTGGCAGCGCTGTTGCTAAGGGCTACTGTACACACTCTGTAAATCCTTCTTTTTTTAACCGAGTCCATCACTTTGTCCCAAGTGATGATTCATTCAAAGTGGAAAATGAAATTTTGGTGGTTTTCCTCTTCCCAGATACTAGATCCATGGGTGGAGTAAGGGATGGCACTGGCCACTCCTGGTGCCAGAGCCAAAGTGTGATGCTTGCCAGTAAACAATGGGAAAAAAAGAAAAACTGTTGCCTTAAACTTTTTTTTCTTGTGTTTTACAATTGATATTGGTGAAATAATTTGGTTATTTCATAGGGGTTTAATTTAGTTTTTACATGCATTTCAAATGTGCCAGCCCTCTCCGAGTCTGTGCCCCAGCCTGGCCACCCCATTCAAAACTTTCTAGATCACCCCTGGATAGATCAGCTGGGCAGGAGCAGTGACAGCCATCTGCCAGTCGGGGTCAACACAGTGTTAGGTATTTTTAGTCAGATAGAAATTGGATAGATACTTTATGTATTAGAAATGTTTAGTGGAGATAGGATGTCTAGTTAGACTGTTAAATGCTTAGTCATGCTTATAACTTTCTACAGGGTACATCTGGTCAAGGATAACTAGAGAGAAGAGTTGATGACTGTCAGCAGACAGGGTGTTTAATATTATTATTATGACGTGTATAACTGTAGCCTTAGCCATAATAGGTTCTTATGTTTAAGCCACGACATGTTACTAGAGGTCGTGAGAATGTTTTTAGCTACACACCACTTAACCAACAGACACACACACACATTGATTTGCTTCATGTTTTGGGGATATAATGTATAGGCCTGGTGGGTTCAGGGTCTTTCATCTTACATCTGCCTGCGAGCAGTTTGGAGGTGCAAGATGCCTGAGCGTGTAATGTTAATTTTACCTGTGATCCTTTGAATAAATCAGCACTGTTTTGAAGTTACTTGGACTGCCTCGTCTCTCAGAGTTAGCAATGGTAACAAGAACCATATCCTAAAACAGTGAACTCTATGTACACATATTAAACTGTACTCTTTGCTGCCAGTTACCACAATAGAGCTCATTTAATTTGGAGTAGAACTCATTTAATGGGTCTTGGTTTTACTGGTTTCACCGATAATAATCACGTTTAGTCATTTCACCCCTGGGCATGACCTTGATTGGTTGACAAAGTGTTAAATGTACAGTATTCATATTTTCTTTCTTTCTTTTTCTTTTCTTTTTTAATGCTGAGATACTGAATGCAGTTGGTGTGTGGTGCACAAAATTCTCTGAGACATTTTTTTTTTCTTTTCACACAATATGAGCAACTTTAACACAATGCATTAGGTTAAAATTATTAGGTCCATGTGAAAAAAAGTTAAATCACACACAGCACATATTTATTCTACTCCCTCTCTCCAGATGTTTGGCTGTGGTGCTGTGGCCCAAGTGGTGTTGAGTGGTGGTACCCACGGCATGTTCCTCACTGTCAATCTTGCCTTCGGCTTTGCTGCCACATTAGGAATCCTAGTCTGTGGCCAGGTATCAGGTATGCAAAAATTATACTAAAAATTATATTGTCCAAATTAGATTTTTCAATGACTCATATTCTTTTATTATGGGTGCATGGGAATTCATTTCTTGAGCAACATATTTTTCTACATTATAACCTATTTTGTACCTTATATTGATAAATATGGAGTCTAAGTGTGTATTTCAAACATTTTTATCCATATTTATGCAGTGTTGTCGTGCTATGTTCATGGTCTATACTAACATTTTGTCACCATGTACCATGTATTTGCAGGTGGCCATCTGAACCCCGCAGTGACCTTTGCTGCGTGTCTGCTTGGAAGAGAGCGCTGGAGAAAATTCCCCATGTACTTCCTCTTTCAGACAATTGGTGCTTTTTTTGGAGCTTCCATAATTTATGCCATGTACTATGGTAAAGGAGAACTCCAGAATCTATCTTTTTACAGCCATATATGAACATGACTGTTCATATATGGCTGTAAAAAGATTAGAACTTCACAAACTCTAACTGCATCATTTAAACAACTGGTCTAAGCAAAAAGTATTTTATGCCTTATTTGGTTGTTTGTGTCCCTTTAGATGCCCTGGTGAGCTATCCTGGATCTTTCAATATGACTGGGCCCAATCACACAGCTGGCATCTTTGCTACCTATCCTGCAGAGCACCTCTCCATTTTCAATGGCTTCTTTGATCAGGTACTCTTTTGAAATGTGGAAACAGCTTTCATAAACAAAATATAAATGTTATAGATGATACAGCTCATGTATCCAAATCACGATTTCTTCCTACATGTATTTCTCTCCAGTTAATTGGAACAGCAGCACTTATAGTTTGTATTCTGGCTATTGTGGATCCCTACAACAACCCCATACCCCAAGGGCTGGAGGCCTTCACTGTGGGATTTGTGGTTCTCGTCATTGGATTAGCAATGGGCTTTAACTCAGGCTATGCTGTCAATCCTGCCAGAGATTTCGGACCACGTCTTTTCACTGCTATGGCTGGGTGGGGCGGCGGAGTTTTCACGTAAGTGCACAGATTTTAAGCATTTTCCTCATTAACTGTTTTTCTCTACATGTACCCTCCTTTGTAACACTTTCACAGCACTCACTAGTTATTGATCTCTGGGGGAAACAAAAATCTATATTTTATATACAATAATAAACCGTTTTTTTGTCATGTCTCAGGGTGAGCAGTGGCTGGTTCCTGGTGCCCATTTTTGTCCCATTTATTGGCACCATCATCGGGGTGTTGGTCTACCAGTTGATGGTTGGCTTCCATGTGGAGGGAGAAGTACGTGACAGGAAGAGCTCAGAGCAGGAAAATGTCCGACTCACCAATGTCAACACCAACAACTCCAAAGAGGGTACCAAAGAAGAGCACTGAGAGTGCTCGAGATTTATGCTGCCAGGCACTCTAAAAGATGAACATTGTGTAAATGCTGACACAAACCAGTATTTAGCATTTTCATTTCCAAACCATTTTTACAGATGTTGGAATATCATCCAAGATAGCTGTGTGTTTGTGATGAGAGGGCACTCTTTTTACATTATCGTGTGATTGTATTTTATTGTAGAGGAACAACTGTGTATGAATGTAGAGGAGAAAAACCCAACTTCAGAGGTGCAGAACTACATTAATTCTCTTAAAGGATGAACATTTGGATGTTAGTGTGTTTAGAACTCTGGTTTGAACAGTATTGTATGCTTTATGCCAATGTAGTTTTATATAACGTTTTTTAATATAGTTTTACATACTTGTATATGCACTCACATGCCACTTTATTAGGTACACCTGTACAGTCAGACTAGTGGTTAAGGTGCAGCCCTCTTGCTGCTGTGGCCCGGATTTGAGTCAGGGTTGCATCAGGAATGGCATCTGTCATAAAGCACGTGCCAAATGTCAACATGCGAATCATCAGTGTGACGATTTGCTGTGGCGACCCCTAACGGGAAAAAGCTGAAAGTGACATTCATTCATGTGTTTTTTATTGACGTCATAGTTAAAGGTGGTGTTGTTGTACTGGACTACATACTAGTTTCATGCTTACTAATATCAGCTGTGTGTAAACAAATGACAGTTATCTCCTTATATGTATACAGCACCTGCCAGTCTTAAAACTGTTATGTTCATTTATTCCTGTTGTGATTGCATCCTGTGTATAATAACTCAATGGTTGGGTGCTAAACTGGACTGTGAGCACCTTTGTATGTAGGCTAAGGGGAAATGCTTGTGTATTGATACAATAAAGTTCCTTTTTTTTATTGCACTAATGTCATGGTTCATGTCATAAATGCGTCTCACTTAGGGCAGCTACATTACATCAAAAAATAATTAGTGAGTTACACCTCTGTAAACAACACTTGTTTACAGAGAAACAGCTTGCACTCTTGCCTTGGGTCAGCCTGGACAAGGTGGGCAAGATATGCCCTGAGATCATTAGTTTGATTCCATTTAGTCTTCAAATGAACTTCTTTCTTTCACTTAAAAAACACAACATGAGCGTGAAGTGAAACAACACAACAAATAATACAACATGTATTATATATACAATAAGTACTAGATCGTGCCAAGCTCAAGAAAGGATCAAATATTTGTCAAAAGACCTTTAAAAATACCCAGTAATGTGTTCTATTTGTATGTTTTTGTGATTCTTGACAAGCGCGTACCAACAAAGTTGAGAGCTAAACAGGAAACAGGACTGAACACAGTGATCAATACATTCATTCTGCTGTGCACTTTTTATAGTGATTTTATATTCCAAAACGGAGCCTGCCCCATCATTATGCAGTCCACAACAGTATTTGACACCACTATTTCAGGGCTGCACTTTATATCATATATACCTGGGCCATCATCACTCAGTGCTTAAATAAAAGCAGTCCTGGTCTGCACAAAGGTTTCAAGTTTCAGCAAGGTGACTGCAGTGAAACGGAAAACTATCATAATGAAATGAACAAGACCTACAGTACAGTAATTGTTCCCTGGAATGAAGGAACTCTAGATATGCTTTGGAAGCTTGTCAGCAGTAATGTAAGGTAAACACAATATGGACTAAAATGTACAAAACCACCACTGTGGTTCTTTAAAGAGCTGATCATGCACCACTCACCAACATTTTTCTGTTTTCTGTCCTGAGGTGCTGTACTGTGTGAGGCACCAATGGAATTCTACCATTAGATCAGTTTTCCAAAAAAGGAAAGAAAGAAATAATAATAAAAAAAGAGAAAGATTCTGTATAAGAGTTAAATTACCCTGTTAAGCTCAAACAACATCCACCCTGTGTTTTACAGATCAATACAGTGCATCTCCCACAGTTGTATGAGGTGCCTGGTTCAGATTGGAACGCGAACAGCCTGTATGAAACCCCTGAGGAAAGAGCTGGTAACATCATGTACTCTGAAGTTCCGAAGCCGCAGGTATGAGGTGCCTGGTTCAGATTGGAACACGAACAGCCTGAGGAAAGAGCTGGTAACATCATTTACTCTGAAGTTCCGAAGCCACAATGTAGCTAAGTAACAGTTACTGTGCATTCAATACACCACTTCTGAAAACACTGGTTCCTCCCTTTTCATGGCCATTCCTGGAAAAACATCAGCAGAAAAGCACTGACAGCTAAATCTGCACGAGCAAGTTACAACCTGAGGGGAACTGAAGAATACTCCATACAACCACCAACACAGACACTGCAGACACACGCACACACACATCTAAAATATTTTATTTATTGCCTTCCAGACTTACAAAAAATCATATTTACTGATAATTGGATTTAACTCTCAGCAAGGAAAAGTGTGACAATGAGTGATAAGTCTCCTAAACTGCTAAAATGCAGATGTTAATTGTTGTGAGTAAATCTGTTGAGTCAACTGAGCCTCAGGTTTCACACATAAAGTTTTTTTTTCCAGTTGTAACAGTCAATGTAAGATGCAAGCAAAATCCTATCTAAAACAGAAAGGTTAGCTTTTCATGGTGTTGATGTCTTGATGAATATAGAACAAAAACAACACACATGCTTACAAGATGTTCACACATTTCTTTGTGGAATCTGGAATGAAAATGTTGGTTGACCACGTTGGATTGCAAAGAAGGAAATAGGGGATGCTCATAAATCTAGGGTTGTTCTTGCTGTTCCTTTCTCATCTTCTCCCTTCCACCAAAGCCTTAAAGACTCCAGTGCTGTGTACACCACTTCACGGTGCAGACATTTCTTATTGCTTCTTGCTGTGTGGTATTTATATAGATAATAAAATCTACAAGGTCATATGTAGGTCACGACTTCTGCTTCATCTGGCAACTCTTTCATGTCGTGTAACTGTTATGCCTGGGGGGTGAGCAGGATATTACTGTGGTTGCTTTTTGCAGTCTTCAGGGTCTTGCAATAAAACTACTGTATATACCAGTGACTGAGCACTTCTCTGAGGTATGGCATATTTGCTCAGACAAGAAGGACAGCAGGGATATTGTGGAAGACTGGAGGAAAACACCTTGTTTAGAGCAAGCACGAGTTTCTTTCCAAGAAATGAGGCAATATAAACACCTTTTCCTTCATGTATACGTAAATCAAAAATTTAAAATAAATGAGACCTGCTCTATGCTTGTTTCATGCTTTGTTATAAAAGTTACACTTAGTATTTTACAGTGCCAGTCTTTTGGAGGTGCTCCATTTCTATTATATTTTCTGTTGTATGTTACATTTTCGTGCCATATTGATTTCATGGTGAGTTTATTTTTCAGAGGACAACAGAGTTATATTCTCTTCTATAAGGCCTGATGTAAAGAATCCACTGTAGAGAGACTGTGAAACCAGATATATAGCGCCGCCAGGTATCTCACACATACCCCTCTTCTTTAGACGGGTCACCCTCTGTCTTCTGCCTCACCTGCATAAAGACATGTCTGTGCACATGCAGTGCAGCCTGTCAGTATTTGGACGGTGGATTTAAAATGAAACAGTGACTATGTGGTCAAAGTGTTGGCATTTGGCTTTAAGGGTATTTGAGGTATAAACATGATCCATATTAGATGAGCACTGTATAGTCCAGTGCAATACAAGAAGACAATGACAGGGTTATGATTCCTACATTATTCACACCATGTGTATGCAAAAACTCTCAAATCCAATGTGCTATAAATGTACTAAAGTTACTTCCTGTGAACAAAAAAAACATTCCACCCTATGACCAGGATCAAGATGTGCCTGTGTCTGTTTGTAGCTATTGCCCCATGTATAATCCTCCACTGAGGGTCACCAGCCTGTTTATCAGTGGGTAAATCTGGCCCATATAACTCCAAACTCTCTACTAGCTTAGTAACATCTCTCCGTTTTTTATAAAAGCATTAACATCATCAGCAAAAGCAGATATTGCCACAACAGGACTATATACAGTACATGACCTGGTATAGAGTCCGGTGAGTCTGTCCCTTAATCTACACAGCAATTGTTCCAAAGCTAAGGTGTACTGCTGCCCTGAAACAGGACAATCCTGCCTAATCCCCCTTTTAACATAGAATAGCTGATGTAACCCACCTCCCACCGTTACATTACCTGAGACAATCATTACATAATAGTTTTACCAAAGACGAATAAAACCCTCTCCAAAACCAAAAGCCCTCAGTGTGGAAAATAAATATCTATGATCTACCCTATCAAATACCTTCTCTTGAACTAAAGACACCACCCTTATATCTAACTCACAATCTTCAGACAAATCAAAAACATCACACATAAGAAAAATATTGCCCATAATATGCCTTTCAGGAACACAGTATGTCTGGTCTTTGTGGACAGTGAATTCCAAACAGTCTTTAAGTCAGTCAACCAACAAAAAAAATTTTAATCCACACACAAACATGAGACCTTCCTCTAGTTTTTAAGAAGTGCCAGATCCTCCTTCATAGGAATCAGAGAAATGACCGCTTTTCTACACGATGCTTGCAGTGAACCTTCCCGCAAGCACTCCAGCAGCACCTGATGAAGGTCGGAGCCCAAGAGATTCCAAAAATTCTTATACAAGTCAGATGAAAGCCCATGAAACCCAGGTGAATGCCCAGAAGCCAGCTGTTAACTGTTGTAGTAAGTTTGTCCATGGTGAGCTCAGAGTCCAGTGCAGCTCTCTCACTTTCACCCAGCAGTGGCAGCCCCTCATGCAGCTCCACAGCACTTGACATGTCACATACCTCTTAGCTGAAGAGGTACACTGTGTGTTTCCTCATCTCCCTGCTGTCCATGGCCACCCTTCCGTCCGGTAACCAAAGACGTGCCATTAGCTTCCTCTGAGCTACAGTACAGTCCTCTCCAGGTTAAAAAAGAAAGCACTAGGTGCCCCCATATCAATAGCAACAAAACTCTCACCATAGCTCCTTTCACCCCACTTGTAATAGAGCCCCTAATTCAGAATTCTTCTGCTGTAACATCTTTTTGCAACACAAGACTCTTGACTATGTAAATTGTTTTCAGTATCCGTTATTTCTTGTTCTAATAAATTCATAACCTTCATTTTAGCTGGTGAAAAAGTAATATACTGCTGACAGAAGACTCTAATCTGACCCTTACCCACCTCCCATCACTGTCTTGGAGAAGTAAAAAGCCTGTTCTTTGCCCACACTAAACACACTAAACTTGTCTGTAAAATGTTTATCTTTTAGTAGTTTACTGTTAAAATGCCAATATGATATAGGCCTTATAGTAGAGGGGAAACAGAACTCAAAGACTATCAGATGGTGATATGTGAAACCAACTGAGTGAATAAAACTACCCATTAACCTGGAAAAATGTTGAGAGATGTAAAGCCTGCACAAAACCCATTACTTCCTGTCTTTACCCAAGAATACTGGGAACTTTGTTCTCCTTGTGTCCAAGTCAAATTGTTTAATCAAACCAGATAAAAATGAGGATGACTGTGAGGCTCTTCTTCCACCATATCTAATGTAAAATCATCTGTACAATTCCAGTCCCCACCCAAGATGACTACTCACTGCTACGAGTCTCTTGAAGAAAAACTACATCAAGTTTTTTTCTGATTCATCATCTCTGCCATTACAGCTCTCTTCTGCATCACTGGGTCCAGTCCTGGCAGCGGAGTCGAAGCGTGGCTTGGCCCACTGCTCCTTACCAGCCTCTCCTCTATCGTCAGTGCCCGCCTCAGCCCTATGCTTGTGTGGGACACGCAAAACGTTTGTTTCAAGCTCCCCGAGCTGGCATACACCATATAATAACCATCCGCATGTCTCACACGAGATGAATCCTCCAAAGTTTGCATTGGAGAGTCCAAAAACATGAAAACCTGCCTCCAAAGAGACCGAACATGTTTTACTTAATCATTTCTATAACCAAGACTCATGGTTTTAAATGAATTTGCACTCAGACTCCCAGCATGCAAGAGGAAGGGGGGGGGGGACAGAAAGGCACGTGGATGTGGTTTATGTTCACACATTTCTTTGTGGGATGCCATGTCATTTTTAGGGCACTGCGTGCTGGTCAGTAAACTTTGTGCCCTCTCACCAGTATAAACACTGTCACTACCACTAGACAGGGTGTCAGCTCTGGGTTTGGTGTTACTTTCTCTAAAGAAAAAAACAAAAAGCAACAACAAAAATGTCCATTAACAAAGGCAAAAGTACTGACTGCAAATGCACCTTTGACAAAGCAGATGTTTTATATGTAAAACACTATGTTCTTCCCTTCTCACAGCATGTTGTCCAAAGACAGATCTGCTCATTATTGTTAAAATAAAGAAAAGGCCAAATTTTCCCACCTAGGAAACACCCAGGCCTCTCCCTCAAAACAGAAAAACATCCACTGGTTTTCTGCTGTAAACAAACTCATCCTGTTGGGCAGTGCCCATGCCACAGGGAAGCGTCATGCCCTCTGGAGCCATTGCCATCTTCATCAGCTTAATATATCTGCAGTTGCTGAATCCCTACAGACTATTTGATATAATTACTATAAGCAGCGCTTTTGCCAGCCCCCTAATTGAATGATAAACCATAGGAAATGGGTTGCTGATGTACAATAAACACTGAATAACCTTATCTTTATGTAGTACTTCATGATATGTTTCACAAAAACAATACAAGTCAGGTATAGTTCCCATTTTATTAGCTACTTCACAGTTTAAACATCTCTTTTTAGTTACCAAGTTGTCACATACAGGTTCAAAGGCAGTGATAGCTGACAAAACAATCTCCAGTAGATATGCTGGAGCTTTCAACCTGATTATGTGATCTTCATTGGGAACTTTTAAGGACAAGAAGTTCCAAAAGTGCCTGTAATGACGGAATGTTTAAGCATTTACAATTCAATTACAACTGAGCAAACTTCATTTGCTGATGAACACTGTGGGATGTTGTCAAAAACTCCAGAGAAGCAAGTTGTTCTGTCAACTGTTGTTTCCAAGATCAAGAATGAACTGTCAAGTTCAATTCAATGGTGTAAGCACACTAACTATTTAAGTTAACAAGAGGTTTATGTAATGTCAATAAAAAAAGTGCTCCACAAAATGTACAGTACTGAATTGTATTGTGGAAGACTGTTATCATTTCCTGCTGTATGTAAACTACATTAAGATTTTCAGAAACATTTTATATAGTCAAGATGTTGAGTACTGGATAAATAGCCCTGAATTATTATATGAAAACAACAGTTATTAAACTGTGTTTCTTGCAACACAACTGTAATTATTATAGTTTTCAAAAACAGTCTATTAATCCTTATTAGGCCTTGACAAAGAAAGATTAGTTTCCTAATTTATCTGCTTTGTTGAGCCCTTAAATCTAACTTGTTGTAAGTCTACAAATAACGGCGGAATGCTTAAAATGTCAATATACACTTCTTTTACCCTACAAGCAGTCCCTCAGATCTCCAACACCAGAGGTCAGTTCTTTGAAAACATACTCATCTTTTTCTCTTCTGGCAGCTGCACAACAGCTTTTATCTTCCTCTGGCAGCCTGATAAAAACATTCTGATCCGTATCCATAAACCTTCCCCTTTATGAAATAGTTGAGTTCACCCACCAAACAGTTTACTTAGTATCATTTTGATGCCAACAGTCTGAAACAACAGAAACCTAAACCTTATTTTTGCCTTTTGTTTTTCAATTCTGGTCCCTTTCAGATACATTCAGAAGAGAGCGTGCATAGGAAACTATGCATGCTTGCACAAACACACACCCTTGTCTAAACTTACAGGAGCAGCCTTCAGGCCTCATACAGTGGAGTAACACTGCCATCCTTCCACTCAATCAGGATTTCTCCTCGTTGTAAAGTGGGAGAAGAGTGCGGGAGGTATATGGCATGCTCTGTCAGTGGGGCTCTTTCACTTAGCACAGGGGACCCAGGAACACTCACCTCTGGACTTGGAGTGTATGACTTCAAAACACACATCTTTTTTCTTCTGGCACAGCAAGACAGAAAAAAAAAACACAAAGCGGGTGGAGGTATTTTGCTTTGTACCAGAGTTCTTTGAAATGTTATGCCCAGTATTTTTTCTGATATACTGTTTTTCTTTAAATCCAACTGTCTTTTTTAAATTTAGTTAAAACATTTTTTTGTTGATTTAAACAGTTTTATTGGTTGTGATCCCCTTAAAATAGCTTAATCTCCTTCATACCAAGTGTCAAAAACTTGAATTTACACTGACATAAAAAAAAAACACTGGTAAAACTCATAGATAAATCATTAACTGGTGAGCTATGTGATCATTATTCTACGTTAAATGTCATTAATTAATTCACTTGAATTTGTAACAGTAAATCTATACTGATAAAAAATGTCTACTGCAGTGTTTAGGCACTCACCTGTTGGAGTAAACATTGAGGATAAGAACCACAGTCCCAAGGACCAGGGCCAAGGAGCTTAGAACCAGCATGGTTATCTTCCAGGCCATCCCTATACACATATACAGACCAAGCAACACATCATTCATTCTATTGAAACTTTGCTACAAACATTACACACCTACAGTAAACTTTGCTCTCAGTTTCCCATTTATCCACCTCCACCTAGTGGTGAAAAAGTAATTGCATTTATACTGAGTAAGAAAATAGTTTAGGTTTCTACAGTATAGCGGCCTACATGTGGACATACAGAGGATACATTCACTCTTTTACTGATTATCAAACTTACCGTAGTCCATACTCAAGAATATCATGGTGGGATCTGCAGGGGCTTTAGTGCTTAAGGATGAAAGAGTCACATCAGGATATGCTTCTGTGGCCCCAATGCTAATTATACCTTCAGCTGGAAGTGGAAGGAAAAAGGAAACAGGTCAACTGAGTGTAACTGATGGTTGGATTTCTTTGTACTGATGGGAACCCCTCGCCCTCACATTTCTTAGCCAGTGTATATTTTTGTTGCAGGAAGAAACAGCTTTGTTTGCCAGCCTGTTTCATGGAGGTGGCTGTCTCCAGGGTGAGGAAAATACTGGTTGGTCAAAAGCACACTTATATAAATTAGATCCTCAGGCTAAATGCATGTAATCTAATCTGTAGGCCATACCACATTACATCAAGATATTGATATCAGATATTGCATATAGACTTTTGAAATACAAAAAGTATCGTAGAGAGCATACAGTAAACATTCAATGATTATGTTGAGTTTTCCTTTAATTTGTCACGCATCTGTATCTGTACTTTCAGGTCCTTACATGGTTCAGCTTGTTTGTGCACATCAGAGATGACACCTGGAAAAATGCCAGGGTCCAATGATTTCCCCAGATAGCGGTGAGGCTGGTCATCTTTGCTGTCTCTCCCTTTGCACAGTGTCTGGTTGTCAAGAGTCCGCCATCTACTGCCCTGTTTGTAAAGAGGGGGAACAAAAAGAACATCCAGCTGGCACAAGACTTTTTACACTTACTATTATTAGGTTAGAATAAACCTCCTTCAATATACTGTATACTTCCACCTCCATTTTAGATACCAAAGAGAATAATCTTACTATCAGATGTTGTGTCACATGGAAGAGGTTCTGTTACCTGCTTATGTCCCCTTGAAAGAAAGACCAAAGTGGACTCGTGTGTGGCACTAAGGTGCAGCCCTCTCCCTATCGAAGTGAGGTGACCTTTCTTGGAACAGGACCATGCCTGGCTGCTTGTCTCTCTGCCTGCACCCACCTGTGCCACTCCTTCAGCAGCCTTGTCACTTGCTACCCTAAAGTTGCAGCGCTGCAGGCGGACGCCTTCAAACTCCTCTCCTGGTGCAGTCAGACATTCCCCAGTGCGGTAACTGAGGAGAGCCTGGCTCTCTGGGAGCCATCGCCATTCCTGTAAGGGGGAATACAAGCTGCATTCCCCCAGTGACACTCTTCCTCCTGAAGTTCCTTCTTGCACCTGCAGACACGTACCCAGTAGCTTATTCCTAATCTTCAAGCCGGATGTCTCTGTGGCAGAAAGATAAAGAAGGCACTGTCCATTATTAACCCATTATTAACCTCCCAGCCAACCCATTATTGGTATAGGGGCAGGGATTCTGGTACAAAGTGGTTTAAAATTAATAAAGGGGTAAAAAAAAAAAAAAAGCTCAACTAGAGGACACATTCAGATGAGTCAGAAGACCTACACATGGTACTGGGGGGCAGGAAAACACCTAAGCAAATACAAAAGTTGAATATGATGTGTTTACAGTGATGTAGGACGATGAGAACAATGCCCCCCCGTTGGAGGATAGAGTCGAGGCAAATCCCAAAACAGCGATGGCAATTTAGTCTGTCTTTGCTTCTTACCAAATCTGCATCATAAAACGCTTCTAATCAATTTATATTTATCTAAATACGTTTTCCAAATGGTGAAACTAAAGTAAGACGAGTTAGCTACATTATTCTGGTGGAAGGTGCAAGACACCTAAACAGACCATGTGTGTTAATTTATTTACAGTAACATGAACTTATTCGGCTGTATACAACTATTCAAACAGCTATCTTAAACGAATAATGCTAAAACACGTCATAACACTTAATGAACTTTTCCGCAGTGCTGTTCAGTTTTAGCCTTCTTGAACTGCAGCGAACATTAAAAGTGCAGTTTTTGACTTAGCAAAAGGTTAGCAACGCTTGCTAACTACTTATCCTACCTTTGAAAATGATGAAGACGAGCAAACAGACGCACGGCAGCTTTCCTCCCATGGCGATGGAGATGACCGACACAGATAGAAATAGTTTGGAGCCGTGTCAGATCTCGCATCAACAGCAGCAGCAAGAGCAGGTGGGCGGGCACACAACTCCCATCACATGGATACGTGAACATCAAGGCCGTGCATCCCTTTCTAAATGCTTTATGGAGGAAATGCATGGTGAGGATACCCACTGAAATCCTCCGTAAATGTCAAGGGATGAAGGCAATTTAACAATGTTAAAAATGATTTTGATAGGACAGATTTTAAAATGTTCCACTCTTTTACCTATACTGTACAGGCTTTTTGATATGGGCAGAATACATGTGCTACTGTTTAAAGTGTACTCATTTGTATTTATGTATTTATTACTCTGGATAATCTTTTTCCCCCATAAACAATATACACAACTCATATCCTCTACATTCCTTGCTGGCAGGCAAGAAAAAGTGTTTGCTACCCATGTGCTACAGCTCCATGGACTACCAATGAGATTGAACGAGCATAAATCTGCTATAAGGAGAAAACAGTGTCCCAAGCTGAATAGGACTGCTCACTGGTTACTGTGAAGAATGGGACAGCTTCTGGGGGCCTACATGGTCACATGATGTTTTTCTCTGTCATGATGCTCCACAAAAAAATGTGAAAGACCTTGCTCAAATAAATATATTCACTGGACTTCGTACAATTCAAACTGTATTCTTTTAACAAAACCAGTTTAGAGTTCAACAGATCAAACATTTCATGGCCAATCAAAAAAACAGAAGCTTCCTTTTTTCCTTCAAGTCTTACAAATGCTTGTGTTAGACCCAGTTCTTTAATTGAAAGCGCGAGAAGTGAAGAGAAGAGGGCTGTATAAAATCAACAGAAAATTTAATCAGTCTGGTCACAAGTAAAGCCATACAGCACTGGGTTCAGAGAAACAGAACTTCCACAGGAACACCGTTATCAAAGAGCCCCGAACTATCATCTGTGGTCACATTTATCTTCTTGGGTGGAAACCGCCCTGTACAGAGGTTGGACTTTACACGCATCTTAATTCTATTGGCCCTTGGTGTGAGCAGGCCAACCTCTGCCCCTACCAGTTTACTGAAATGTGCTAGAAGCCAGGTGTGTGAATGTTGTGGTGTCAGGCGGTAGCTAACAATGAATACTGGACAGTTGGTTGTCTATGGCTGCAGACGCTGTCTGTCTAGGCTATTACAGGACAAAGCAGGCCTTGCAAAAATGCTAAATAGGCCAAATGATCATCTTCAGTTGTAGGCCCCCCATCTCTGAAATCTGTTACATAACAGCAGAACTAGTGAAATGCTAAGAGGGCCTATGTGAAGATGCAACACAGGCTGTCTGGTTAATTAAGGATGCAGACCTTATTTCTCCACAAACTTCTAGCAGACAGCTCCTACTCAGCAGTTCTTGATCATTATCAATACAGTTAAAACATATATAAGAAAGGAAAATCAAGGTATGAGAGTAACTAATATAACATCTGAATATTACACTTGTTCTCTGTAAAACATTTGAGGCTTGGTTTAGCAATCAAAACCATATCTGTTGGTTTCCTACTCAACTTTAGGTTTGTATATACAAGACAATAAATTAATGGGTATAAAATAATTTGTTGTGCATTGTCATAAATAAAATCCACACTAAAAACAAGGAATCATGTAAAATTATGTTTTTACTAAACATAATCTAAAAATGTCCCCTGCACAATGAAATGAATCAGGGACACAGACAACTCATTTGCTCTCATGAGAAGGTGGGAAAAGGGATGTGTACGATGGAGGTTGGTCACCCTCTTGAAACTGAGGTGGACCAGTAGGGGGTTGATGCTGCCCTGAAGATGATGCATTTGAAAAACCATATGCGACAGTGTACTGGGGCAATTCATTATCGTAGCAACTTCCTATGGTTGCATGTTGACTGGGATGTGGTGCTGGGTACCCATAACTATCTACAGGTACAGGATATGCGCCACCAGGGAAGGCAGGGGGAGGGAAGTCGCTGTAACTTGGGCCCCCAGCAGCCCCACCTGGGTAAGACCCCACAGGCTGAAAGGCAGCAGAGTCACAAGGAATGACAACCAGTGGAAACATCAACATTGGGTCAATGGCAAAACTGATGTCCAAATACACCTGGGGAACAGGAACATACATTACTGAAAATCTGAGTCTCTTTACATCAGAAGTGATTTAAACCAAACAGCCATTTGTGGAACCATTAATTATGATGATTGTGCTACTTAACAGCCAATATCTGTAAACAAATACAACTCGTGTCTGAGCTGATGTAAGGTCACTGTGACATTTTACATACCTTGAGGTAATATTCAACTGAAATGATTTCACAGTTCCAAACACTATAGGAGACATCAACAGGGATCTTCAGCTGGCAAGAGACGCTGTCTTCTGAGTTTGATGAGATAGTGTTCCCAACTATTTTGCATATGCTCTTTTCAGACTTATTAGTGGAGCCACTGGCACGATACACTGTTTTCTGCATCATGCTGTATTTGGGTGTCACTTTTTTGGAAGAGGAGTTGCAGATTTTGGCAACAATAGATAAAGTTTCACCTGTAGTCATTTGGTTACTGGGAGACAGAGAACACCGGCTGCAAGTGCAGACACCTGTTTCAACTGAGTGATATTTGTTCATGCTCTGATTAATACATGTTGTGAGTTTGAAAAAGAAGCCTTATGCTGCTGTTGTTTAGCTTTCTTCAGACTATCCATCCATCTGTTATCTATACTATTTATCCTGAACAAGGCTGCGGGGGTCTGGAGCCAATCCCAGCTAATATTAGGTGTTAGGCGGTGTAAACCCTGGACAGGTCATTCTTCAGGCTATTGTGTGGTTAAATAAATTATTTTACTTGGACTTGCATAGATGAGGTGGCTATTTTTTGCCTAAAGATTAGATTACATGCATTTAGCCTGAGAGCCTAAACCTTGTTTTGACAGGGTAGAACTGTTTTAACACTTAAAAGCCAACTCTTTATTGTTGTGTTTCTGATAACCCTTCTTATTAATTCTTTCAATTCTGGCCAACTGTCCCTTTAGTCTTGCAAATTTCTATCCTAATTATGTTCCTTTTAACATCTATAAGCCAGTTTGTAGTGCAAAACAAGTGCTGCACAGGCCGAGGTGGAGGTGTGGCAGTGATCTTTGAATCAAGCCTATTAATCAACACTAGACCTAAAAATCGTTATAACT